TAGCACATTCTCACCCAAGTTACCTGCCAACTAAATCAAAGTCTACCCCTAAGCCAGTGCCCAACAAAGGTAGACTAACGGCAGGATCTCCCCTATTCAGGGTGGATCGCCAAAATCGTCACCTGTCAAAATATAATCTAACTCCTCTAAATCAAGAAAATTTCGACAGCTCTTCCCGTAGGAAAAGTGTCTTTTTAGAATTTATATCAGCCCAAATATGAAAAACAGAAATAGTCTTTGACTTTCTAAAGTCCAATTTTGCCTAACTCTCTAAATTAGCAAAAATTTGGGTAGCACTCCCTTTAGAAAAGGAGACTTCCCAGATTTTTACTAAGCCATATACGAACTTTAGACAAGTTGAACTTTGAGAAGTTGAAATTTGACTAACTCCTTGGATTTGCAAAAATTTCGGCAGCGCTTCCCGCAGAGAAAGTAGCTTACCAAAATTTTATACAAAGCCAAGTATAATAAAAGATCCCAAAAAATGCAAAAATCGAACTAAGTAAAAAATTGAATCAAACTCCTATAGCTCTAGCATGTGGCGAGCCAAGTAGGGTGGGTCGGGCGGGTTCAAACTGCTCCGATACCAGTGTAACGAGCGTGAGGTTGAGGGTGAGCCGAGGGAGAGGAGAGAGAGGGAGAGAGTGAGAGCACACACACACACTCACTCGACATGACGGACTCGGACTGAGGGTCGGACGTAGACACAGTGGCAAGGCACAAAGTCGAAGTCTTGGATTCCGAATGCCGAAACAGCAAGTCACACTGAGTACGAGTACAGCCGCAGAGAACTGGTACGAGACTGCCCCCGTGCCGTACGGGGAGCCGGTATAAGTACCGGTGACACGTACGGTACCAGGGGCATTTCTGCAAAGGCCCCCGAGGGCAGAACTGAAAAATGCAGTATTTGAAAGTGGCGCCCGAATTGCAGCATGGCGCCAGTTGTCCGAAATCCTACGGTACCGAAGGAGGAGTTTGGAAAAAGGGCGCCAGGCCGAAAGCGGGATGCAGCTGAAACAACAAAAAAAATAGACCAGGGATCGAGCCCTGGCGAAGTCCGTAACACGGCTGGCCACATTGACTGTGGTTGCGCGTGAGCTGGCCATGTACCCCTGTTCCACCCTTGATGGCTGTGTATTGAATTTGCACCACAACAGCCCCTGTTCCACCCAGCTGAGTAGATCCAAAATCAGAGCAACTTTATCTCTATTGCAGACAATGAAGCAAACTTGAGATGAGCTAATCCAGCAGCGAAACAGTTTTACCTCTATAGCAGGCAACACGGAGCACAATAAAACTATTTTTTTACTCCCCTTTCTTAAGTATCTTTACTTCGGTTCTCTTTGAGGTACCCCTTTTATTTGTTCTTGTAGCTCCCTTTTACTATGCCTCTCCCGTACACCGGCCACGTTGATTGTGGTTGGATGTGTTTTGAATTTTCACCACAACAGCCCCTATTCCACCCAGATGAGCAGATCCAGAATCGAAGCTTATTCAATCTTATTACAGACAACGAAAGTCCTTTAGTTGAGACAATCCAACAATGAAACAGTTTCACCTCTATAGCAAGCAACATCAAGTACAATCGAGGCATGTAAACCCCTTTCGTAATTGTGTTCACGTTTGCTTTCTTTGGGGTACCCGTTTCATTTGTTCTTGCAGCTCCCCCTTTACCAAGTCTCTCATGCACAAGGCTCACCACGTTGATTATGGTTGAGCACGAGCTGCCCACATCCCCGTGTGCCATAACAGCCCACTTGTACACTATGAAAGGAGGCAGAGCAAAGGCGGAGGTATACTCCTGTTCATTTCTTCTCAGATCTCCAACTTATATTTTGTCTGTTCTCTTAATGATGGTCATTCTTATGTATTACTAGTAATACAGAAGAGAAGGGAGGGAGGAAATGGGAGGTGGAGTTCTAACAGGGTTCTAAACAGTGACCGCTGGGGCAGACCAATCTAGAATGGCACAGGAGTCCAGTCAGTGTGTGGGTTGCATAAGATTTGAGGAGTAATCGTTTCCTATGGTAAGTGCCTATGGACCCACACACTGACTGCGAGAACTGGATGTGGTGCTTCCACAGGCCACACCCGACACACTGACCAGTTCTCGCAGTCGTAGTTACCATAGGCACTTACCATAGACCAATCTAGAATGGCACAGGAGTCCAGTCAGTGTGTGGGTAAGCACCACATCCAGTTCTCGCAGTCATAGTTACTGCATCGAATGGCACGGCGTAGATGGATGTCACAGGCTACATGGCTCCTACATGCCAGGAACACAAAAGCACATTGACTGCAATTGTAGAGGCACTGCCGTTCCAGCCCGTCTACAAATTGGACATGACATGTCAGGGTGCAGGCTGTCATCATACGTATGAAGACAAAAGCTTGCCCGGGCTATCCCTTCACAATCCTCACGGCATAAGGCATGTGAACCATATGCTAGCTGAATCTCCGGCGGTTCATCACAAAGAGGTATGGAGCAAGTTTCTTGGGTTTCCTCAGTATTTATTCCTTCTCTATGGTTAGACAACAACAGGGGAGATTGATCCAAAGCAAGGGTGTTTAGCTGCTGCAGGGTTTGGTCTGCAACAGCTCGCCCTGGTGGAGACGACCTATCAGTACAGTGCTCTGTAAGTGATTCATATGGTAATCTATTTTCCTCCTCACGCTGCTGCGTCTGTCGTTCGTCAGGCAAGGAAGAAGAAAATCCGACTGCGGTTGCAGTAGGTGTATGACCAACATCGCATGAGGGACATGCTAGGAGAGGATGTGGTGGATGATGGCACCGGAGAGTGTGTGTTTGTGTACATGTGGGCATACCTGTGTGTTGTAGATTTTCACAACCACAACCCCCGTTCCACCGAGATAAGTAGATCCAATATTGATGCAGCTTTGCCATTGCAGACAATGATGCACACTTGAAATGAGCCATTCTACATGTGTCTCTGTGTGCATGTGTGTGCTTTATGCACGTGTTTGTGTGTGTTCTTGGGGAGGAGTCCCTGTTCCACCCAGACGAGTAGATCCAACATTGAATCAAGCACAGGCAGTGACGCACACTTGAGACAAGTCATTCTGCATGTGTGTGCATATGTGTGTGTTTGTTTGTGTGTTGGGGAAGAGAGGAAGGGGTATCACATTGGCAGGTTTGCCCTCTTGTTATTTTAAAGCCCCACTTAGGAAAATAAAAGAGAGGAGTGTTGACGTGAGAGGAAGATCAGGAGTAGGGAAGAGCAAAATTCTATTTGAAATAGATGATATCACAATACTTGCAAGATAAAAGCATGGTCATACACACTTCAGGAATGCTGGAAATGCATTTGAGCACTTCTGGAGTTTAGTTCGGTCAGGATAGCCCGTGTGTTAAGTATCACCCAGTTGACATCTGAGTTTAAGCAGTGTGTATCCAAGCACATCAAAGTCTTTGGAACACGGAAGCAATGAACAAAAGACAGAGAAGGCAGATCAGAGAAGTGGCAGAGGTGGAAGAAGGCAGATATTCGCACCTTCCGCAAAATATCTACCACACGGCTGTGGTCAATCCTGCGCTTCAGGACATTGAGCAGATCGTTAAGCAGATCGGGATGCTCTTCAAGATAAAATGTGATACTCTTGTACTGAATTTCCAAGTTGGCAACCTTGACAGCCACGTCTTTAAACTGCATATGATCCCATGCATCTGGCGAATGGTTGATGATAGTCATGGCCGCATTGTCAAACTCATCATATTGAATATACAGGAAGGTGAGTTCCTGCCAGTGCATCTGTTCCTCGCAGACGCGGATCAACTTTGGAATGTTCACTCGCACGGCAAATAACTTCAAGTGCTCCATCAGCTTCTCAGGTCGGTAGCGGGCATACAATATGCCCAGCTCTGTAAATATGCCCATGTGTGCACGATCCAATCCTAATCCACTCTCCATCAGTGCAATCAGCTCGCTGAAACAGCCTCTATTTTGATAGTAATCGTTGACTTCCTCCAAGTCGTCCACCTGCACATACGCAGCTTCAGATGCTTAGCACAACCAACCCATGCGAGATGAAAGAGCATTCAAAACTTCCCAGTCATACCTTCACACACATGCACCGATCTGTCTGTCTGTGCTAGCAGAAAGAGAGACACACTGGATACTACACAACCACTGCTTTTCACACTTTGACCAATCTACCCCATTTAAGTCAGCATGTCAGGCTTCA